AATGAACTCTACTTTATAGAGTTTAGGTGTCACCTTTTTCATCTGAAAAAAGGACCTTAATCCTTAACAACATCGAGTAAATTGGTTACCAATTTAAATGTTAAACTTACACCATTTTTACGTGCTAAATATTTCTTGAACCCACCTTTCTTCGCCTTTGGAGTAGCTCCTCCAGATATTCTCTGTAGAGACAACGGTAGGAAAACGGAGTCTTCTTTAAGGTTTACGAAAGAGCCATCTGTTAACGGGAACACCCTAAGAGAACGAATTCGATCCAACATTTCTTGACTGCTATTTCGCTCCTGCTCGAGACATCTAAAAATGCACTGCAACCATCGAGCTACCCACGCTATCCTCACAACATCCGGTTGGCAGTCCTTGTCATGGGAAGTGGCTTTATTTGACTCCTTTGAAGCCTTCTTCACCTCCGCTTTACCAATGTCCATCAAGTGCTTGCTGGACAATGTCTCTATTCCAAGACGGGATCTAAGGGCGGGATTTAGCGCTGGAACAATTTCTGGATGAAGGTACCTCAACCCTAGATGCTCCTCCAAAAGGGTTGAGGTTATGAGCTCCTGTATGATGCTGTCTTCGCATAATATGGCCTCACTAGGGAGAGCCCAGACGTAGCTCTCTCCATCATCACCTTTGTTCGGTTTCTCCTTTTCTATACTGGACCTCTCAACTGGTATACAGGACTTGCCTTGAAGAAGTTTTAAAATATGGCGGGCGACGGGCGAAAAAAAGTCGGTAATTTCCTCTTCAAGTGGTACAAATTGGAAATATGAAACCAAGGAGGAGAGGCCGGAAAAGGATGCGTGATCCTTTAGAGAAAGAAATAAAGAGATTTCAATCAATTGTCACAAATAAAGGAAAAAGAGCTCAAACTTAAGTCCCAAATTCTTCAAAATCTGGATCCGCAGTTTGAGAAGCCAACGCCGAGAAAAACTACCACGTCTACCTACCACGAACACTGAAAGAGCGTCAATAAATAGTTGTGGAATCTCTTCCCTCAGCCACTGATTCCAAGATTTGTCACTGTCGACATTCTCTCTAGACGAAGGAACCTCAAAGTCGCCTTGGATGATGAATCGAAAACCATAACTTCTCAGGGGAAGATACGCAAACACATCCTGTTGTGGCAGGGCCTGTAAAAGATAATGGGTACAATTTATCCTCAGCCTGTCTTCCCTTGATAAAACGTGAGTAGTATGAGACTAAAGGCTACACTCAGCCCATCCAGCCGGAGCTTAATCCAGTTCCTGTACCGTGAAGCGACCAGGGGTTGCGTTATTTTCTTTCCAGATGGGATGCAAGTCCATCGCAAGGTTTGCCCCCTACATTTTCGTCAAGCTTCCCTATAATCTTGGTCTCCCCTTTAATCAATGCTGCATATGTTCGTTGCATATTTTACAAGTAATTATCTAAAGATTTCAAGCAAAATTGAATTGGTGGAGGGAAGAAGTTGTTGTTAACATTTTTTAAAGGGGTGTAATCTAGATTTTTCTCGACAAGTTTTGTCCAAGATTGTAAAGTATACCTTCGCACACAGCTCTTCGCTAAAAATTTCATACCATGGGATTCCAGAAAACCATTTTCACCTGGCTCTTACTCGTTTTCACTTTCAGGAAATACAAAGCAGATCAAAACCTGAAGTGGCAAGAACATAACTTTACCTGGTGTCTCACCCGTAGACTTGGGGTACTGCCTGACTCATCAAATAACGGAAAAGCTAACGCCAGCTCACTCATCTCTACATCTTCTTTCATCTGAATTAAAAATGACAAAAGTATTCCAAATATTTAGTCCGGCTTCATAAATAAGCTTTTAGAAAACGCGCGTAAAAATTAAGATCATACTAAGCGACGTATGAGTGGTGACAGGGATAAACACAAACAAGTCCACAAACGAACGGAAACGAAATAAGAAAACACTGTGATACAGAAGAACATGGCATCATTCCTGGTACCACCCACATATCAATGGTTGTAACGATGGCTAACTTTATTTGCTAGTCTTATAACATCAGTGTAACGAAAATAAGTTTGAGATAATCGTAAGCTGTTTTCTTACATTCGAGGCATCAAGCTGTTTTTTTATAACAAGCCACCGATCTGTGCCTTTGGTGTGCTTGATTTCCATGACATGATCTCCCAAGTCCTTCCTCGTCATTTCATTGTAACTTTTGTTTACCTAGANCCTGGAGTACCAACTGCTCGAATCCTTGTTTCATTGTGCTCAGGTGGTGAAAAAAGAAGCTGTCTACTTAATGGACTGGGTGTGTTCACCTCCTGCAGTAGCTGGCCATAGCCAGCGAAAGGAGTAGAGAGGCCACCACTAGCAAGCTGCATTTCTTCTTGAGCTTGTTGTTCCATTATTTCAGCAAGTGACTGTGCTGTAGCCTGTGGACTTCCAGTAGAGGGTTTTGTCACTTGTGATAGTGTCCTATGTAATTGGGCACCTGAAGCTACAGACACATTAATCATGAAATTATAGTAATACCAGAAAAAAAAATCACACCCAACAGTAACAATTACTAATATGCAAATTTCTACCTATGTATACAGTCAACTGTATGATTATCATCAATCAATTTAGGTGGGACAACAACACTTGAATATCTTATTTCAGAGTGGCCTCTATTACCCTTTTACTGACGGCCAGTTCAGATGGTCAGTTGGTACTTTGTAGCACACTGTTAATTGTAGGGTGCTGGGATCAACAACAACCAGGTTCTTGAAATACAAGCACATTCACCTCGTACAGTCAGAACATTCTGAACATGTTCTAGGAGCATTGCTTCAACTTAAATAATCACAATATACTACTGTGATTATTATAAGCTCCTGGCCTTGACTCAAATAAACTATAGCTTAATTAGACTACCAAAGACACAGGTGTATGAGCCACACCTTTTCCCCCAAAATTTTCAAAACAAATTAGTGTGTGGCTTATCTGCTTAAACATCTGGAAAACATGCCACAGATTTGCAGAAGTAAACACTATTGATCAAAAATTGACAAGTGTGTATCAATTTCCTGGTTACAAGCTACACAAGTACGAATGGCCTGCATTATTTGTTTTATGTCACACTCTACTTGAAATCTGACAGGAAAGAAACAAATACTGTTTGTACAATACCAGAGAATGATCAAACATAGGGCTAAGTAGGGAGATATGGTGTCCATACTATTACAGCTAAAATTATTGGTACAATTGTAAGGATTAAAAGTACTTTATGTTTTAAATATTAGTGACTTTACACATGTGTACTTTCAAT